TGTCCTCCGGAATGACGACACTACTTCCGAACCCCTGAAGGGGATTTTTACCGGCTTGAGCTGCTCACTTGATATACCCATCCGAAAGAAAGCCTCATGTGACAGTACGTTAGCTGCACTCCCATTGTCCACCAGAATTCTTCTTACTTCAAATTTAGCAATGATCGTCGATATGACCAAGGCATCATGGAAAAGATACGCGTTTTAGGTCTTTTGACCCTAAGGTAATGTCTCCCACACCGCTGAGATCCAGGCTTGAGACCGAGTGAAATTGCCTGGCGTACTGCTTACGCCCGCTGTTGGAGTCTTCCCCGAGGCCGTTCTTCCGAAAATGATATTGATAGTGCATGATGTTGCTTATTTATCAGCCCCATAGTCAGGGGCCTTATCGCTATTTTGGTTGTTTCGCTAGCTCTTGTCTTGACTGACGTATGTGCCCAGGAAGCCCCACTTAATGAGAGCCTCAATCTCCTGCTTCGGAGCGAAGCAACCTTCTGTCGTGTGTCCATGATCTCTATGAAAGTCACAATACTTGCTTTTGTCACGGTCTCTGGTGGAGCCCGTAGTCTCTGAGGCCACTTTAACTCTTTCAGGTCTTTGATTTCCATCAAAATGTTAGACCTCGTTGTGTTCAAGCGAGTGAAAGGTGTTGGAGGGTGGTCTTGCCTGGCTTGTTCAAGAAGGGGTTCGGGTGTGGGTTGGACTCATGTGCCCTCTTAAGGTCGGGCTTTTTCAATGGTACGGTACCCCTTTTTGGAAACATTGTCTCCTCCATATTGATGTATTTCTCAGCTCGGTAAGTAGGTTGGTTATCGACTTTGGGGGGTCTTCGACAGTGATATCGTGAACGTTTCACATCTTACGACATACGCTAGGACAGAGACTGCAGCTGCGATATGTAGATAGGGGATCATAAGTCTCTCCTTATTAAACTTTACCATGACATTCCGAAGTGTCTCGCTGGGTCCCTGATACATTTACATGAGTGACGCAGCCGTTTTCCTAATGCGCTTACTACTTGCAAAGAACGTGGAGAACTTGTCTGCTAGGTCCGAAAAAGAAGATATGGAGTTGGGTTCCAGTGTGGAGAACTAATCTCTGGCTGCATTGGTAAGTGTCTGAGGAAAGGCCTTGCAAATTACAACATCGAGTGCAACCTGCAAGTTCATGATATCTGTGTATATGTTGAGATGGTTGATAGGGTCAGTCGTCCCATTATACTCCTTCACTCGAGAGTACTTAAACAGATCCGATAGGGGATATGATAATACTTCAGGGGTAAAAGGTGTGTTAGGGGTGAATCATGTTACTGCCTGAGACTTCTGAAGCATTCCGGCCGTGATTCCATCTTGGATGATCCGTTCAAGATAAACCGAGTCTATAGTAATTGATCTTGAACTAACGGGGATATGTTGTACGTCCGAGACTTCGATGTCACCGTGGCTTGGGCCCGCAGCCAGATCCTCAACCATGAGACCACTCTGCGGAAAGGTACTGGCGGTGTGTTTCTCTGATTCCAATGCTTCGGGAGCGACTATCGCCTATAGGTGAGGTAGTTCTCCTAATGATATCTCCTGGGGACAGGGATGGTCTCCGATGGGGGGTTGGGTAAAGTGGATGAGGTTGCTTGAAGATGTCTTGAACGTGTGTTAACCATAGTTTCTGACAGCATTTCCCACAGACGACGCCAATGATGCTGCCAAAATTGCACCTGGTCAATTTCGAGCTTGACGAATGACAATGAGTACGAACGTGATCTTTCGGTACCTGAAACAGAGGCGTCGAAGAGTGTCGTCGTCGCCCTTCCGATGCTTAAGTCAGAGAGAGAAGGGAGAGAAAATATATGTATGTAAACGTACCTGAGTAATGAGGATAGGCTCTGTACTTATAATGTGGGAGATTGAGTCCTAAAAGGACTCAATCAGCTATGGAACCTGTCCTTGTCATAGAAGGTGTTTGGGTTACAATTGGATTTGTAACAGGTTGGGAGGTTTGCATTTTGGTTGGTTTAGTGCCCCTAGGAAACGTATCTAAAGGATGGGCGGGCCAAGACAATACCCGACCTCAAGACAAGGCCCGAACTTAAGGAAGACAAATTAGGTTGGGTTGAGGTCGAGCTATTGGGCTCGTTCTCAAGACAAGGCCCGACCTCAACATAAGCCCAATTAGGCTGGCTAAGGTCGAGCCCAACTGGTCTAGTTCAAGCACTAAATCTTTTGGGCGTATCACTAGGGTTGGACAAACCTCCCGGACCGAATTGGACCTAAATCGAACTAAATTGAACTGACCGGTTTTTCTTAAATTAAATACCAAATGGGTATTTAAATCAAGAACCAACGAGTTTAGAACTGAGAATCAAATAAGAACTGAATCTTTCTTTTTTTAAAATTTTTTTTATCTTAAATAAGTCAAATTATTTTATTTTTCTACATGAATTTGCTAACTAATGAATTTAGCTCAAACCTAAAATATGGTTTTACTATTTTCAAATTTCAGCCTAACCCAACTTAATCAAATTGACTTAAATTGTACCCAAATCTTTTATTCTACCGTGGTATCGTTTTTGCCGTTATATTATTATGAACTCGCTATCTTCCTCTTTTTGTGATTTTTAATAGTTTTATCTATGAAGAATTCAACAAAGAAATGTGCAAAAGATATCACTAGATTGGATACGTTATTTTGTGAGAGTTAAGATTGAACATGTTACAATCGAATTAATACAGAGTTGTTGTAAATACAAAAAAAATAATTATTGTAAGGAACCTGGGAACTGAATAGAACCAAACAAAACCAAATGGAACCGAACCCAAACGGTTCCATAATTAAATTTGTACCCGACGGTTCCACTTATTAAATACCTGAAAATTTCGATCATTTCTCTTCATAACAGAACCGAACCGGATCATGTTCACCCTAAATTAAACCACATTAATCTCCATTTATCCTTCTCTAATTACCAATTCTCTCTTATATACATATGTAGTTCAACTTGCATTATACCGACCTGTCTTGAAACAATGCCCTCGTGATCAAATGGTCTTTAATTTCAACAATGCAAGTTGTGGGCCCTGTCGATTTTGTCATCTCTTTCGCTTTCTCATCTTTCTTTTTCTTCTCCAATCCGCTACTATCACTTGCATTTGACACCTTAATCGTGTATGTCTGATCAATTGAGGAATCCCAGCCATTCTCTTTAATCTTCGCCGTCCATTTGTAACTCTTCTCCAAATCCTTGGAATCCTTGATCTCTGCCGTCCATTTATACTCGTATCAAGAACAAGGCCCTTGACTACCGTTGGATGCAACAAAGTGTTTTGAGAGGTGTGCGGTTGACGGAGATCCGAGCTTGGATTTGGCGATGAGTTTGAATGTTGTCGTGGCAATTGACTGCAATTTTGGGAGGTTTGAGAGGCCGTGTCTATTTTGGAATGGGCAGTTAAAGTGTCTGAGATGTCATGGGTGGAAAATTAAGTTTTAAAAATTTGAGATTGTGGGTAGTATATATAAAAAAAATTGGGTATAATTTGTAAAACAATAAAAATTTTGGATACTAAAATTGTAATTATTACTTTTAAATTTTGACATTTTTACTATTTTTAATGGAAAATTTGACAGTAAGGGATTTTCGCACAAAATGTTTCAAATATGAGGTTTTCTGCAATTTTCAATGGCTATGGGGTATATCGCAAATGAAAACGTTTATAGAGGTATTTTATGCTATTAATCCCTTCTAAAAATACCTAAACTAGGCCATTAATACGCTGCCAAAACTTGTACTTTGAAAAAAAATTAATAATCATACACTAAAACTCCCAAACATATCCTAACACCTTGTTTGATACCAATTCTTTTGAAAAAATATATTTCCCTCTCTTATTTTCATGCACATATTTTTCAATAAAATAATATTAAACATAAATTCAAAATTTGTCCTTATTTTTTTACCACATATTTTTCATCAAATCACTATTTAAAATACATTTTTGTGAGAATAATGTGCATCAAACATGGTGTAAATTAGGTTTTCTAATTTCAAGAAAAATAAAAATCAAAGAGCGTCATTGTAGTAGTGGAATATTCGGTGAGTGTCTTTGAAATTTACTCATTCTTCGTTGCAGTAATATCAAATCAAATCAAATCAGTGTCTTTTCTTGTTCCCTCCCTACTCTGCAAAGTCCCTTCTTTCCAAATTCCCAATTGCAATCACACTTTGGTTCTTTACAAATAAAGGGATTGCTTCGATCGACTGTGTTGATTCATCACTGCGTAAAGGGTGGTGGGTTTCTCTTATTATGCAACCTTGAGAGGTTGTTTAATTGGTCAGACATTTAGTTTGTTCCTCAATGGTCACCAATTCGAGTCCTCTCGGGGCCACTGAGGTAAGTACCTCATCGTAAAATTTCAGGGTCCCATGAGATTAGTCGAGGTGAGCACAAGTTGGCCCACACATCCATTGTTATCAAAAAAAAAAAATATATGGGTCTTTAACAGATAATCATGCAATTTTTTGTATTATAGTTAAAAAATATTTTATTTCTTTTCTTCAATCGAGCCAATCATGGTATTTTTCAATTAAGATTTTGAGTTTCTCCGTCAAGGTTGATTTTATTGTCCTCTGCAAAACACTTTCCTGAATGTAAACCCAACTGTTCGTTCGTTCTATAATTTCAATTTGTGCGCATTTTCTCATCAAAATGTGTTTTTTTTTTGTTCATCAATGCACTTTTATTATTAGTTCGTTTAAAAAGATTTTTCATTTGTCTTTCTTTTAATTGAATTAATTGTAGGATTACATGATTCTAGGTTATTTTTCTGTAGATGTATGCTCCATTGTTTCTGTTGTTGCTATCTTTAATCTGTTGAAGTGGGAATTAACATATTTGTTTTGATGTATCTTCTCCTCCAACTCTCGCCTCTTTTTCCATAAGTATGTTTTTTTACAAGTCTTATAAACGCTGCTTAGTTTATTGTAATTAGTGACTTCTACAACAAGGACAATGGCTTCTGAGGGAGGTGAAAAGGACATGGTTATCACTCAAATTGGCGTTGGTGGGTTTGAAGATTTTGTCACTGGTTTGGAGGTGTCGATTGAAGACTTCCTCAACCCCACCTGAATCATATCCAAATTATGTGGTCGATACTGAGAGTGTACTGTCCAGATAAAGCACGACCATGAGAAACTTAAACCCCATGCTTTCATACATGTTGCCCTTTCTTCTTTAGCAATGTCTGCATTGGATGCTGCTGGCTGTAATGAGCTTATTCTGGGCAAGAATCTATTGAAGGTCAATTTGGGACCTGAAAATCCACATGGCATGAATGAGAGGAGGAGAACTAACCCACCCTTTAAGTTATCCGATATTTTGCGTTGAGATTGGACTGATGAGGGGCCAAGATGATTTTATTGTTGGTTGGAGGGGACATCGTAATGGGGTTGATTTTCTTGTTGATCCTTTTAATGCAATGTGAAAACTACTTTTTAAGAAAGAGACTGCTTTTTCCTTCAAAGGTGAATCGAAAAACACTTTAATAAAGTGAAATTTTAAGATCAAGTTCTTGTCAAGAGAAATCAACGAAATAAAACAGTATAGAGATTTTTCTTCTTTGATAATTCTGTTGCAGCTGGCTTCGTCTCCCATTTTTTACTACAGAACTGCAAATGATGATATTGAAGAACCTGTCCCATTTGATTTGTTGGACGCCAATGATCCATGGATTCGTACTAATGATTTTACACCTAGTAGGGACAATTCGTAGTTGTAACATTTACCCAATTTCAGTTCGACCCTGGGATGGACCAAGCGTCAACAATGTTTTTGTACATCTTCAAGAACATAGGGTGCCAGTTCTAAACAACAACCCTGAGCTTAGGGAAGTGATTGGAGAAGTCGACTATCTTGCCTTCGTAACTGATCGGGGTCAATCTCTAATAAATACTATCGTTGAAGTTTTCCTTGAGGCACATCGTGGGTACTGCATGTACCATATACAGGGTAATTTGAAGACTAAATATCGAGGCCACGACATTGTTGGATTGTTTATGAGAGCGGCTGAAGTTTTACCTGCACTACCAGGGGTAATCCATATGTATCGTACTTACGCATGATCCCCTTCGACCTCGAGTGTGATCCAGTGAAAACGTACACTGTGTCCTCGAAACATATCCGGCCCCACAGATATGTGTTGAAAACATCAAGATCGTCGACAATATCCAAATGAAAAAGGTCGATCGCAGTCTTCCTGTGGTGACATCTCAACATGCTCTCAAGGATATAGACCAGGCCGAGCTTCGGTCTGTATAATATATGGTCACACCCCCTGATCACGTCTATTAGCTGTGGCAGAAGCACCGTCCCATGTCTCTGGAAGTAAGCATCGTACAACTTGCTGCTTCTTTGAGTACCCGAACGAGCTGCATCATCACCCGTGATCAGGATAGCTCGAACATAGAGAAACTGACAACTTTGCCCCTGAGGTCGAAGTGGAAGACATTGCCGTCGACTGGACTCAACAACTGACACAGTAGGGCATTGATGATTTGCCCCAAGAACTGCACAGCTTGACTCGTACAGGGGCCAAAGAAAGGACATGCTAGCATGTCTGCATGTTGCTCATCCAGCAGCTCCAACACGGCGGTGTAACTACCAAGACTACCGTTCCAGGTACGACCTCTGTCTCAAAGTTGAATTCAAGTGGTACTCTATGCTGCAAAAATTTAAATATTAGCACATCGAACATAAGATAATGGAACACATCATAATCTTAGAAAATTAAGTGAACCGAATTGTAACAACTACACGGAAGAAAGAATTTTAAATTAAAAAATAAAAGAAATAAAGAATTTGCTAATTTCGTTAATAATAATATTACATTTTGGTAATTATCAATTTAAATTTCTTCATTTAATTATATATATTAAAAAAAATTAAACAAAGGGAAAATTATTAAAAGTAAGTAAAGGATATAAATATTATTTAATTAAATTAGAAAAAATTAAAGATTTGTTTACAAAGAATATTTCATTAAAAATTTTTAAATTAAAAAATTAAAAGAAAAAAAAAGAATTTGCTAATTTATTAAAATAGAATATTTAATTTTGGTAACTATCAATTTAAAATTATTTATTTAAAACAAAAGGAAAATATTACAATTGTGTAAATAATATGAATATTATTTAATTACATTTGAAAAAAATTAAGGATTAGTTTACAAAGAATATTTGATTAAAGAATTTTAAATTAATTAAAATATTAAAAGGAAAAAAAATAAGAATTTGCTAATTTGTTGAAATATTTCATTTCATTTTCTTAATTATCAATTTAAAATTATTTATTTAATTATATATATATAAATTAAAACAAGCGGAAAATATTGAAATTAAGTAAACAATTTAAATATTATTTAATTACATTTGAAAAAATTAACGATTAATTTACAAAGAATATTTAATTAAAGAATTATAAATTAATTAGAATATTAAAAGTAAAAAATATGAATATGCTAATTTGTTAAAAAAATAATATTTTATTTTGGTAATTATCAATTTAAAATTATTTATTTAATTTTATATATAAAAACTAAAGCAAAAGGAAGTTATTAAAGTTAAGTAAACAATTTAAATATTATCCAATTACATTTTAAAAAATTAAAGATTAATTTACAAAGAATATTTAATTAAAAAAATTCAAATTAATTAATATATTAAATGGAAAAAAATAAGAATTTGTTAATTTGTTAAAAAATAATATTTCATTATCCTAATTATCAATTTAAAATTATTTATTTAATTTTATATAAAAAATCAAAACAAACGAAAAATATTAAAGTTAGGTAAATAATTTAAATATTATTTAATTAAATTTGAAAAAAAATTAAAGATTAGTTTACAAGGAATATTTAATTAAAGAACTTTAAATTAATTAAAATATTAAAAGAAAAAAATACAGTTTTGCTAATTTGTTAAAAAATAATATTTCATTTTGGTAATTATTAATTTAAAATTATTTATGTGATTATATATATAAAAATTAAAACAAAAGGAAATTATTAAAATAAAAAAGAATACAAGCATTATTTAATTAAATAAATAATTACAAAAAGAAAAAATGAATTAAGTTATATTTAAAAATTAAATACATAATAAAAATATTTTTTAAATTCGAAATATTGAATTATTAAAAAAAAGTGTCACAGCTGTTAACAGCCGACTTTTGGGCCGACTGTTGCGCCTGCTGTTAAGCCGATCCAAAATCGGCCAACTGGCTGTTAACAGTTCGATCGGTTGTTAACAACCAACATTTCTTGAGGCTACCATTATCGGCCATTTTGAGCTCAAAATGAGCTAATGTCATGTAAAACCACTACATTTTCTCTACAATCATTAATATTGAAGCTAAGCTATCTATATGAACAAATAAACTAAAAAAAATGTAAAAATCATTGGAATATCTTATATGAAAAACACTATTTTAATAACAAAAACTAACCCTCTCCTTCCTTGGTGACGAAATCCTCTTTGTGGTTGTCGGCGCCGGTGACTTCACGGACGATTTCGTTTTTGGTGTCAGTTTTCTTCTTTTGGTTGTGGGAGTATGGTTTGGTATAAGGTGGGGGTATTTTTGCCTTTTTATTGTGTGAAATTTTGTTTTGACTTTTTTTTTTTTTTTTGTAATTGTATTTACTTGTCAAGGGCGAAATATTTTGTTGTCAACAAGAAGCCATTTTCAGTATTTCCGCCTTAAAACTTGCACGGACCCGTGGCATGCTTCGGGATACGTTGCTGAAATCCGAGAAATCTTCTTCAATATCATGCTTCCGTGGCATGCTTCGGGATACGTTGCTGAAATCCGAGAAATCTTCACTATCATGCTTCCGTGGCATGCTTCGGGATACCTTGCTAATCTCTCCCAGCAGAGAACCAATTCCCCCAGATCTGATTCTTCACTATCAACAAGAATCCCTGATTATAATTTGTATATAGCTTGTACATATTTCTAATTCTTTTCAATCTCTGATCTCTTCAATTGAAATCGGTTCTTTAAATCAATCAAGAAAAGCAAAATACGGACAAAAATGGGTTGTTTGCAATCAAACCCATTTCGCGGGATACTCCTTTTCCTCATCCTTTTCCTCTTTCTTTCGTTTTCGTTCCCTCGTATTTTCGCCCAGGTAATATCGTATTTTCTTGCTTTTTAGGGATTTGTATTTTGAGTTTGACGTTCTTGGTAATCATATTACGTGTGCTTAATTTTAGGAATCTGATGGTGATGATGCAACCAAGGATCTGGCTCGGCGTAGTGAAGTGAGTAATTTGTCTTTCTAGATTGAAGAATCTGATAATTTGACGGCTGTGTTAATTGTGCTAGATCAGATGTTACCAACTTCTAAGGCCTAATGTACTTTATACCAACTTTGTATTTTTTTGCTTACCTTGTTGTACTCCTTTAGTTCTGGTACCATGATTGGATGCAAGTAATGTAGGTGGATTTACAAGCTCTGGCATGAGCATGTTTGTGGGTTGTTTTTTTTTTTTTGATAACTATGAATATCCGAGCAGCTTGCGCACACCTGACTATTCCCACAGGCCTAAAGTTTTACGGCCGACACCTCAATGACACCTAAAGTTTTTTTTTTTGATATATAATGAGATGATTTGGACTTTGGTTTCTCTCTTTTTATTTAAATCTTAGCTGTCTTTGTTGATGGTATATAGCTAATAAGAAATACTAGAAACTATAGATTAATTTGATGCAAAGAATAGAAAACGAGGAATTCAAAAATGAAGATAGAAACCTAGGTTCTTATGTACGAAAATCAGGTGCGAGAATCATTTTTTCTCTCAGAAGTTTACACAATGTCATTTCCCTTCAATTTTATGATTTAATATATGCTAGTTTGCTGTTGAATTGAGTACCATGTTACCTGTTAACAAATTATAATAAAAATCTGAAACAAAGATTGAGATGCAATAAACCAAGCATTTATACTCTTAACCAAAATAAACATGATTGTTCAATGGTGAAATTATGTGGAATGAATCAGTCTCAGTCTTGCCAGATACTCTGTCTAACATGTAGAATAGAGAGAACACACGGATTCTACAAATGACAATATAATATTTATCTATACCTACACAGTGGAGGAAAGGGAGAGTTTAGCTTAATGTTCACCAAGAAATGCTTCAATACAACAAATGTCTCAAGTCTTTAAATTTGTTGCTGCATGTTTTCTTTTTCTTTTTCCCCCCTTTATGTTTGGGTGTTTAAGATGATATAGATAGTGTATAGTTACTGATTTGGATTGATCTCAATTTCATCGACTGCGTAATCAGATTGGAGACCAATGGATGAATGATAGCTTAGTTGTTTATGTTGAAAAAGAAGTATTTAATGAAATTAATAACAAGACTAATATACAACGTTTTCGAAGTATGAGAAGCCGTAAGGAACAATTGTAAAAAAAAGTACTACATTTTGAATATTATCTTTGTTGTCTAATATGAAATTATTTATTAAGTAATTCTTTTTCGCCACCCGAACCATAATCTTGGGTCCGCCTCTGGGACTCGAAGCATGTTTGTGGGTTGTTATTAATCAAACTCCAGCTGTTGTGATCTCAAGATTGATCAACTTATAAAATATAATAAGAAAAGGATTTCAGGTGTATCACTTGGATTTTTATGTTATTTTTTGGTCAGGGGACAACTGAAAATAAGTGAATCTTAAATATAATTTTTCTTGAAAATTGATTCATGTTCA